GGCGTAACTTTTGCACACTGGAATCTCACCTGAAGAGCGATATCCTAACCCAGGACCTCTGTCATTTCTCAGGCATATGACATTCATTGCATTTCAGCACCTCTTTTACTGAACTTTTTTGCTTAAGCAGGGAGACTATTTCTGACATACCCTTGATTGTTTAACCACTGGAAGAGACTCTACAGAACTGCTTCATAGTTTGAGTGGGCTTTTCCAACAGCTCACTGGTGTTCCCAGTACAGCACCCAGCCACGGAGAAGCAGGAGTGTATTACAAAGACCCCAGAGAAGTCTCTGCCTTGCTGTTCAATCACTACTCCTCAGTTTCTGCAACAGTAAAACCAGTGAGGATAACAGTTATTTAGACTCTAGGTAGGACTGACCCCTTGAAATGTATCTGGAAAGTGTCTGAACTGTGCTGGTGACAAAGAAAACAAACAAACAAACAAAACAATTGCTACTAGAAATGTTTTCCCCTGAAAAACGAACACTGTTTGCTGATTTAAGCAAAAATTTTGACATTTTCTATATCAAAACAAATGCTTTGTGTGAGCTTTTTTCATTTGTGTTTGGATGGAGTTTCAGGCTCCTGCTTTATGTGGTTCCTGTTTTATGTTCAAGCTGCGAACACAGTCCTGCTTCAGTGCTGCATTACACGCTTCCAACTATCCTGAGACACTACTGAGAAAACAAAAATTCAACTCCATTCAGCAACTAAAGCAACATTTTAAATGCAAGCCACCTTCTTCACCATATTTGCTAAATATTAACAAAGATGAGTTTGATTTCTGTGCTAACTTTAAGAGAATGCAACTGTTATGAAATAAAAGGTGTTTGCAAATAAAATGATGTGCCTCCTCCACATCCTTCTATTTAAATGTTGATTTTTTTTTCTGCCACTGTCCCAAACCTGGAAAATACCTTCACACTGGTAAGCAAAGGCTTGCCTTAATTCAGTGGAAATAGGGTCCAGAGCTAGGCACCCAGTCGTGATCTGAACATATGCCTCATGCTGTCTCAAATTAAGGTCTTGTGCATGTATTTCACAAATCTAAGACAGGACTTGCCTGATCCAAAGTCAGCTGAAGGTACCTGGCAATTCTGGGCACTGATCCAATCCTGAAAAAACCCCACCAAAACCAAAACCAACTACTTCACAGAAAAAAATGTGATCAGGGCAGCTGGCTCTTGTAAGTCGAACACTCTGTCGTGCCTGCCATATACACATTCTCATTCCTCTACTTCTTGTACAAGTAGCTCTCAGCTTGGCTCGCAAAACAAAGGCATGTTTTAAAGCATGATCAGTATACACAGAGACTGGTAAAAAATACTCATACATCTTCTTCTCTAATTGCTCATTCTGAAGAAAATTAGCAAGGTAGCAGGAAAAAAAAGGAAAAGAAAAATGTTGGAAAGTAAACTAAAAAATTCCTTTTTTATCTAGAAATGATTATATACATGTTATAACCTCGAGATCTAAGAGAGCCTTCTGAAGACATCTTTCTGTCATTTCTCACTGGTTTCTGTAATTTCTTCTCCCTCTTTTTTCCAGTTTGCAGAAGGGTAGCAGCGGTGCTGGTTGGAAGCAAAGCCATTTTACCTAGAACGTGTTCAAGTTGCAAGGCAGTTGAATGATGGTTTTTTGCCATTCAGCAAATGTAAACCCATTATGATATGCAACACTCTGTAACATGGTATGACCTCATGTACAAATGTCAAGAGCTTACTGAGAATTTTGCATCATTCGTAAAAATAAAGGAAGTGTAAATCAGCGGTCTGCTAGCTCATCTCTCCTCCCTTTCAACATAACTAAAAGGACAGTTAACTTAGCAGAACAAAATTAATGAAATGGTCTGACTAAAATACTGAGACAATATATGAACTGGCAAAACCTCTATAAACCTGGTTACAACTGAAGTGTGGGTAATAGACCGCATGTATTCTCTAAGACAATCTCTGACCTGCGGCTGGGAATTTAATAATCATTTGTGTTGCAGAGACTAGTTTCAGAAGTTTTAAAAATGTGGCTGCAAAATTAATTTTTTTCTTTTGACCTGTTGATTCTTCATACGTATTACTGCATTCCCGTAATGTTTCTATGGGAACAGATCTTATTAAAAAATAGTTTTGCGCTTGCTGCAAGAGCTATTAAGTGAAATTGTACAGTCTCCACTGTACAATGTGTAACAATAGATGCTCCTAATATTACATTCTGGACCTAAAATCTATGTATATGAATTCATAGAAAGAAAACTCTGAGCATGGTCATCAACCACAGAAAATGAAAGAGTAAAATATAATTTGCACTTAAAACATGCTCTAGAGTTGTCTTTAAAAAGTAACAATCACCAACCCCATGGAAGGTTCATATAAAGCAGTCAAGCATTGTACAGAAAGACCAGTCTAGCAATAAATGGAGAAATGTGTAAGCCTTCTAAATGCCTTCTAAATGGGACAACATGCAGCATGGATAGTCAGTACTTTAAGGGATCTGCCACTGACAGCCTGCTAGCTGACTCAGCATCCACAGAAATGACAATGAAGAGGCAAGAAGCCTCACGCTCTCTGAAGGCTGTGAAAAGTAAATCATTGACTAACAGCCTGAGAATATTATGTTATTTGTAGAAGGAAAAAGTAAAAGCAGTCATTTCCTCCAAGAATGGGCATAATGAAAAAGAGGATGCCTCTAAGAAGCCCATGAAACAGGTATGGTCCTACTCACACTCTCAACTTTCTCACAAAAATATTTGTGCCTCTTTCACCCACTAGCTCCCTGCTATGGAAAAACACTTCTTCAGAGTCTGGAAAATGCTGTTTGATCTCAGTAAATTACATCTCACTGCTTGTCAGTTTCTGATTGATGGTGTAACTTAGGGAACAATATCTGTGTGGGGAATATTGTCTGGAGAAGCAGTCAAGGATTATTGAAAATACAGTATTTATGCAGTTTAAAAATCAGTGGTACATTACGCACAACTTTTTTCTGGAGTGATGAAAAATTACTGAAGTGCATTTGGGAACAAAGGGTATAAGGTCTTTTGTCTATTTGTAAGAACACTCAACTGGTAAGACTTCTTAGTGAGTTAGTAGTGATGGATGCAAGAAAAAGTGTCAACTGCAGTTGAGCATAAAGCCAAATGCTTCTTTGACCAATCAGCAGAAAGAAAGACGTCATTGCTCAATGGTGTTCAGAGAAGGGGGAAGAAAATAAAACTGAAGAAAAGAGAAGGAAAATGAACCAAGGATCACTGATTTCTCTAAGCCATTTAGAACTACTGGAAAAGGAGAAAAAAGCCTAAGGTTTTATCACACCATGTGTTGTTTCTCCATTTATCTGATACGTCATATTTAGTTGGAAGACTTTCAGAAAACAGCCACTCTGAAACAGCAGCCACCTCTTCCGCATAAATCATCCCAGACTTACTGAACTCAAGGGCTCAATGCTGATTTACACCAGCCACAAATATGACTTAAATACACTTCATCTTCCAAAACTTTGAGTCTTTAAGGAGGCAACCACAACAAAGTTTTTCAGCACAAATTAAATGCAAAAGACACCAGAACATCAGCAACAATAAGGTCATGACTGGTAACAGTTAAGGGATCTAAGTAACATGCATCCTTTCCTCAGAAAGTAAGAAAGGATCCACACACGTGTATTAAGAGAAAATTCATACTCTGAGGCCTGTGAGGCACTGACACAGGATGCTCAGAGAAGCTGTGGATGCCACATCCCTCAAGGTGTTCAAATTCAGGTTGGATGGGTAGTCTGGCCAGTCTGATCTGGTGAGTGGCAGCCCTACCCATGGAAGAGGGTTGGAACTAGATTATCTTTAAGGTCCCTACCAAACTGAACTATTCTGCGATTCTGTGATAAGATTATCTTCAATGTATAAGTGCATAAAATAAACAAATGGGTCTGAATGCTGTTGTTAGTGCTGTCATTTCATACAGAGGATAAACATCACAAAAATTCATCAGGTATGAAGGAAACCAAAGGAAATACTTCCCACAGACCACATAAAATTAAACTGCCAAATTCATTGTTACAGAGAGACACAAAGCATGAAAAAGCATCTGAAAGAATTAGCTGTATTCATGGAGTGTAGGTCCATGCAGGTAACTGAAAATTATAATTCAAAAGCAATCAACTCAGGACAACTTCAAAAGCTGTAGCAAAGAGACTTTTGGACATAAGAAGTAGAGTCACTCAACTCTTTCTGTTTTTCTTCTTCTCTATTATCCCTTACCAGCCTGCTCCAGAGAGAAGGAAGCTTGGAGCTTGGTCTGCTCCAGCAGTACCATTTCATTTGTTATGTTACTATTCTACCTACTGCAGGAGCATGAGAATAAGGAAGCAAGAAAAATCTGGTCAGAACACCACAGTGTAACTTCACCAACTCTTCTCTAAAAATGAATGCAGATGATAATCTCTGAGATAGCCACGAACATTTGATGTGAAAAAATATCTATCTGTAATAGTTTCAAGCAAAGCACTATGATGTGATGAGTTGGAAAGCAAACACAAAAGTGAGTCTGTAAAGGGTAATGACACCGCTGGGATATAAGAATAATTTCCACATGTAGTCCAGAAGGAAGAGAACAGAGGCTCAGTGAAGGGCTTGTGGATCCAGGGGGAGAAATTATGAACACAGTTTGTGAGAAGAAGAGAAAGACAACTGGAGCATCTTTCTTTTGAAATAGCTTTGTGAAGAGCACAGATGGGAACCATCTCTAGAGGCCTGTCATACAAATTGCAGGAATGTACACAAAATGAACATCAATTAACTGCTCTACACTATAAGACTTCTGAAATACAAGCTTGCCTCACCATACAGAAACAATTCCACCTTACCACTATCGTTCACAAATAAACCAGCTCCTACAGATTCTGTGGCACCTACTGTCGAACACCTACTTTCCTCCCCACCACCCACCCACATTTTGTGCATGCCTATGCCAGGTCAAACTGGTACCTGAAGCCCCAGCAGATGCACCTACCTCTCGCTTTCGACTCTGAGTAGGAGGGGGTGTCCTCCGAGGCCAGTATCTGTGTGACGCAGGCGGGACTGCCAACCCCCTGGCCCAGGTATGAGGCGGGTGGGTAGTAGGAGCACATCCGGTACTGGGAGCTCATGGCGTGGCGGTTCTCCATCCCTTTCATCTGTAGAGACAGAATTGCAACAGCTGCCCATGAAAGATGAGCCTCAGTGCTGTGTTCACACCCTCTGCCTCATGGGCACACATCTGTGAAGGAGGCAATCACGGGGGCTGCGGAAGCCAAATCCTTATGCACTGACCTTAGATTTCTGCTATGTGTCAATGCCACCCAGTTCCAGGGGAGATGACCCTGTCCTATAAGAAATCTAGCAGCAGTAAAGCCAGCATGCAGATATTACCTCAGTTAAAGCTGCATCCGGCACATGGACACACAGCACCACAGTGAGATTCCTCACAAGCCCTCCACTTACAGCATAAACAGGGCCATAGGAAACTTTCCAAACCCTTCATTTACACGCACTGAACAGTGTTCAAAGAAGGGGAGGAGTCCACCCAGCCCTTACAGTCCTGAGGAGACGGAGAGGTCCCAGACCAGTGACACTCCTCCACTAGGAGCCCACAGGACAGTTGAAGACAGATCTGCTGACTGACTCGTGCAAGACACATCCAACTGAACCACAGCACTAGGCACACACACAGCCACAGTGTTTCAGTGCTTTCCTTAAAATTCAGTAAGATGGAGAACTATTTTCTCTTCTTACACAGTACAACCAAGTGGTGGGCAGCCTACAGAGCACATCTGTGGCAAAGCCATAACAGTACAAACCACCGTGCTGTGTCACCTCAGAGTCTGACAGTGGCCAGACAAACCCTCCTCCTTCCCACGCCAGTCAAGTTGGCAGCACTCAGAAAACAGACCTTACTCCAACACCCTGAAATGATTCAAAGTGATCTTCATGGAGAGGTGATAGTGCTTTTAATTTCTGTTTTGCAAAAGACCTATCTCTACTATTATCTGTTCCAAAACTTTACAATATAAAATGGCAGGGAGGCTGGAGATTCATGATCCTTGAGGTCCCTTCCAACCCTGGCTATTCTGTGATTCTGTGGCCACATAATGCTCAAGAAACCAAAAGCAGCCAAGTTTTTCACAAGATGATGATTTTTACGAGGAAAGTTAGTGTTAGCTGATTATATCTCCCTAACTTTTCTGGGCAGTGAACAACTGTAAGATGGGAAGTTTTGTATCAGGCACAAAAGTAGCAGTGCCAACAGTAAAGTATGTCAACTACGCTGTAAGATGTCACCTCTGCAAGGCAAAGTCCTCTCTGCCTGCATTTCTACACACTGTCCTACTGCCCTTGCTGGGGGAGGACTATGGGCAGCATCCCATTCTCAAGGTGTTCACCTCCCCCTCCTGCACGTTTACTTACAGCTAAAAAAAAAAGGTCACCTGATGGAGATGGTGATATCTTAGCTGTAACAAAATGGAGGAATGGCTCCCTGGCACAAAAACCATCACATTCTTACTTGCATTTTGTGCAGAGCGTATGCAATGACCTGTTTCCTTTCAAACCTTTTTTCAGGGTTTTTCTTCATTTCTTAAAAAACAACTCACCTAAAATCTCTGGATTCAATGAATTATTACTACTATTATTATTAGTGTGTGGTAGCTGGCTAGCAAGAGACATGTTTTATAATCTTATTACCCACACCAAGTCTATGAACCACAGTCCGACCGACAGTCAGAAGCTTGGCTCTGCAAAGAATATGCTTGTGTATTAACCACTGAAGAAAATCTAAAAGCTTTTGGTTTTGTTTTATTAAACTGTTTAGAATACACACCACAGTAAATCTGAACCATAAGGTTTCCTTTTTATAGTGCTTAGCAATCCTATTCTACAGTAACAATAAAAAAACAACCAGTCATAAAAATTCTTGACCTTAGTGCTGCATTAAAAAGGGGGTTTAGGAGATGATTACCCAGTGAGAAGGGGCACTTGATCTGTATTAACTCAGCTCTGCAGAGTCCTTGCACTTTTTTTGAGTGCTACAGTCAGAATTAAAAAGGAACCAGAGGAAGCCAGTGGCTATGTGAGTTGTTTCTAATTCAGGGCAGTGCAGCCTTCCAAGGGCTGGAGCTGGGAGATCTGACGGGTACTGCTCCACTGGTCATTTCCTGAGAGAACATAAGGGTTTCAGCTGTCATGCATGGATGACAGAAGGAGATGCCTTGCCCTCTGGCATCTCCTGCTGACTTCATCACTGCCTCCCATGAGGTCAAAACAGGCAACGGCTTGGTCCCATGAACCAGTCTGGTCCATCTTACCATCAGATACACTCCACGATAACAAGGGGTGCTTTTGGATCTGAAAGGGCATAACACAAATTCTGCATACTCTTGCCTTCCAAGCAGACACCTTTCATCAAGCAATCTCATGTCCTCCCACTCCCTCCTCTCCTCTGACAAGCCTGGCAGTTACACCCATGGCTGCCCACAGTGCTTGATCTCACAGCACTACTATTATGTCTCCCTCATCTGCCCTCATGAGGCCCCACCTGTAGAACTACTGCCAGGTCGGAGGCACAAGAATGACACAGAGCTGTTGGACTGGGTTCAGAAGAAGCTCACAAAGATGATCAGAGGGCTGGAGCACCTCTCCTACAAAGACAGGCTGACAGAGCTGGGCTTGTTCAGCCTGGAGAATGCTCAAGCATTCTCTTCATTGCAGCCCTCCAATACTTGAAGGGAGCTTAAAAAGAGGACAGAGACTGACATTTTACACAGTCTGATAGTGATAGGGTAAGAGGGAATGGTGCTAAACTAAAAGAGGGGAGATTTAGATTAGAGATTAGGAAGAAATTTTTCACTGGGGGTGGTGAGGCACTGGAACACATTGCCCATCTCTGCCCCATCCTTGGAGGTGTTTGAGGCCAGGTTGGACGGGGCCCTGGGCAGCCTGGTGGGTGGAAACCCTTCCTACCTCTTCTACCTAGCACATCGCTCCAGCACCACACCACTCATGCCTTGCCCCAGCTGCAAGATGAGTGGCAATCACCTCACTGACTTCAGGGGGAGGCACAAATCCTGCGAGAAGCATACCTGGATCAATCAGCATTTACAAGTTCCCTTGAATAGTACAACAGAGTGTACTTTCAGTAACTTACTAACAGACACATGCAAGCAGTAATGATACACTTATGACCTATGAACAAATAAACAGGGACTTATGAAGAATGTGCACATTGGAAATTCCTTCTCTGACTGCTTGCAGAATCAGTATGGGGAAACAAGAAGCAGCGGTTTGTCCAGCTAGAAGCCTAACTATAGAGCCAGTGCAGCTCTTTAGCAGTGTCAAACAGTGATACAGCATGTATCAAAAGCCTGAGGAGCACGAACAGGATGCCCCTGCATTTGCTCAGGACATGCAAAAAAAATCTGAACAGCTGGAGGGAGAGCAGGGTGCTCCTCCCAGATTTCCTGGAAGCGGCTGCACAACCTCTGAACATCTTCCTTGTGGAGGAATAACCACAAGGCATAAGCAAAGATGGTGGTGGACAGAAAGAGAAGAGGTGAGGCAGGCACAGCTGTTAGCTTGCTCCTTCTCCCAATGCTGGCAGCAAGAAAATGGCCTACCCTTCCCAGATGACTGATTCCAGACAGATCAACCTATGGCCAATTCTTTATTTGTGAAAGCTGCCAGCTGCAGCCACTTTACAAGCAAGCCAGTGATACACCTAATTTGATCTGACTATCTTGCAACTGATCCTGACTACAAGCATTATTCTCAAGATGAAAAAGTATGAAGTCACAGATGCTAATCCTGGGTGACAAGTGACAGTGCAGAGTATTCAGAACAAGAGGTCACAGTCTACCACTATGATTTCGATCTCTATAAAATAAATTGGCCCTTGCTTTTCTGGCATCTGCTTCACCTATGACTCATCAAACAAAAACAAAAATTACTGAAACACGACAGGAACTCTGGCAAGAGTTTGCACAATCTCCTCCTTGGTCTTAAAATTAAAAACAATTTTGAGGGGCATAGAATCGCATGTTGCATTTATTTCAAGTTATTTGTAAACAGACTTGCAAGTTAATTTTTACTGTGAGGTGAGAAAACAGCTGCTGGGGAATGGAGCAGAAAGCCAGATGTTAAGGACTTCTGTTCCATCACCTGCTGGCTGTGTGACCTTGGGCAGGACAACAGTTCTGTGCCTCTGTTTCCCAAGCTGCAAAGCAGAGTGCCACTGCTTTCCCACCTGTAATGCTACAGCCCGTGAGCAAACCCCTGCAACCATGGCTGCTCAAGGTGTTTTTGTTTCATTCATAAAACCAACTAAGCACATTTTACAGCATGAGGAAAAAGAGACTATGACACTCTGTCCTGACTTCCTTTGATTCTAGCATAGAAAATACAAGAGACATCTATATCTGTCCCTCCTTGATAGACAAACCTAATTAACCTTTGCTATTCTGTTCCAACCTATTCTTTGAGACAAAGGCAGTGACCCATAAACAATATGTTACCATCAGAATCTCAACTGCTGTGACATCTAGAGATATAGCCCTATCAGCAGTATTGGAAAACAAACTGCTTAGATTAGCTCCTCCAAGAAATATGGATTACATTCATGTCACACATGAGCTGTCAGAAACATTAGGATACTTTTAGCATAAATCTATACTGTGAAGGGTATGTTATGAATACAGTATATAATACACTGCTTATGCATAAAACCAGGATTGCGTCCAGTGACTTGTGCAATGTATACGTATGCACACATGCACAAAAACACATATTTACACATTTCACATGTATTTCTGGAGAGTTCTTCTGCACAGTTCTGTAAGAAGGCCAGGCTTACTAAAGGGAAAAACTGAGCCAGGAACAGGTTGTGGAAGCCAAAAAGAGCAATCCTCTTTACAAGAGAAGTAGCTACCATTAGAGCTCAGACTGCTAGTTGCCATTTCACAGACATGTTTCTTTGGACTTAGCAAAAGAGAGTTTTGCATGTCAGTTTCTTCTTAAGAAATCCTTAAAAACTGTTCTTTAATTCAGCCATGTGAATTATTTCACTTCCAAATAATAACAATATTAGAAAATGTATTCAAATTTCTTAGTGTGACTCTCACTGTGTTCTTCATAGTTTTGCTCTGAACTGTTTAAGAAAGAATTAAAAAACAGTGGCTCTGGAAGTGAAAACAAAGTGCATTAAAGAAAGACAAAAAAGAACAAGAAACCAAGCAAAAACCTTCAGCATTAGACAAGCTATATTAAATTCTGAGATTTGTCCAAAACCTTTTGGCCAACCTTAAGCCTTGCCCTAAGTAGGAATAACAGGAGTAATTACCAGAGTAGCACAAGAAAATCCTGCGGTGGTGTCCAGGAGTGGGGGCACACTCAGCATCTTACAGATCAGTTGTCTGGCTGCAGGAACCAGCAAGGTTTCAAAGTTTTTAGGGGGACACCAATGCACAAGGAGTCACAATTATCCTTATGTTGTGGGTCACGTGCCACCAGTGTCATTCCATCCTAGAGAACTTAAATCTGATTAGATTAGGATTTTGCCATCCAGGTTTTTGTTTTGTTTCTGTGGTTAAAAAACAGACTGGAGCCACCTCAGCTTTTTCTAGTTACAGTCCCTGTGCAGGTCAACAGAGAGTGCCAGAAGCATCAGCTTTTACTGCGTATCAATACACTGACTTGCGATACTCATGTTAGGGAACTCATTTAACTTGTTTAATTTAATTGGACTGAATGCGCATAAGTTTCTGTTGTAATGAACAATAACTAGAGATATGTGGCAGGGTCTGGTTGCCCACAGAGAAGGAGAGGGAAAGAACACACAGTAACCTCATCTGCTATACTTCCTCTCACACCTAAGCCTGTGTTTTCTTAAGATGCAACATCAAGTATATCCGATCATCTGCTTTAGAGCTGGGAGAAGCAGCAGAACATGACTAAAGGGTTGCAGCTGAAGCCATCATCTTCATTACATTTATCAAATCATGATGGATACAACTTCTGGCATAACTATATACAAATGAATAAAACCCACACAGAAATATCTCAAAAATGTACATCTCTACAAATCCACTGAAGTACACGAGCCTCTGCAAAGAACAAAGACTAATGAAATTTGACATTAATCTACATTAAAGATTCAGTGATTCAGTTTATTTCCCAAGGCTCAATGATGCATTAATCCCCATCCCTTCCCACACACGCTCACACGTTTCCTCCCTGACTTCTGTCCCCTGCTCCTTAAATTCTCCAACAGCAGACAGCCAGGCTGCTCAAGGCCTACCTGCACCCAGAAGTTACATTACTTTAAGTATGCAATTCCCCTTGCAGCTGCAAGGGTTCCAGGACAAGTGAGCATCTGGCAGCTCACGTGGTAGGAGTCTTGTCCATACTGCCTGAGCCCTTCCATCAAGCACAGAGCTGGCTTGTGCCCATACACATCTACTACAGCCCAGTAAGCTGCATGGCAGGCATTGTGCAGCTATTATTTAGTTAAAGGAGGAAAAAACATAAACCCTAACCAGAGCAGTCAGCACCACCAACCACACAAGCAGACCCATAACTGGAACAGGTTAAGAAAACTTTTCTATCCCAAACAACCCAATCAGTACAGGCAGTCCAGCAAAAATGCTCATGTAGACACAGCTATGTGTTTTCTCTACAGAGAAGCAGCCCGTGTAAATCTGCCAGCAAACCCCTTCAAGGTGTAAACAAGGTTTCATTCTTTCCACAGATTGTGCTTTAAACCTCTCTGAAACCCCTCACTGTACTTAAGTATCACATTTCCATGATATTCCTTTGCTAGTGTAACCATATGCAGCAGCTGAGATCTCATTCTTCTTACAACAAAATGTGTTTAGGACCCCAAAGAGTTTCCAATTTCAGCACTGTTGCACCCACTGCTATCAACTATCAGTAGTCTAGCACTCACTGCAAAACTTTTAATAACTATTTGTGCAGTGCTATGCTGGCATAATGCTATGCAAATCCTGTGATTCGTAACTCTCCCAGCAATGACACTCTTTCTTGCAGATCAGTCTCTGAGAAATAACATGTAAGAGACAGGACACTGACCCTGAACTGGATCTACTGCTACTGAGCAGCAGACGTGGGTTCTGGTTTCAGGCCATTTAGAAGCTGGGGAGATGTTACTGCTGCAGGCAATAAGTCTTACCTCTAGACCTTCTGCAAAAACTTCTTATCACAACAGTATTAGGAATCCCGTAACATTGGCCTAGAACAAATTCAAATCAAGGATGAGATTACAGTAAATTTATACCCACATGATTTCTCCTGCAAGCTGGAAAGCTGGATATAAGCACCTGAAGATGTGAGCCTGCTGGTAGAAGCAAATCAGTTGTCTCCAACAACAATCACATTTTTCCCTTATCATCTCCTTCATATGCCTCAAACTGTAATGGGACCCAAGTGCAAGTTAGCTACAGGTTCTGCAAGGTGAGAGTAAAATGCACGGAAAATAGGCAATTGCATTTATTTCTTTAGTGGGTATCCTCAAGAACAAATGTAGCTATACGTATAAAATGTCTATGATACTCAGTCACAAAATCATAGAACCGGGAAAGAGGTTATTTTTGAGAGACATGGATGACCATCCAAGATGCAATTCATAGGATCACAGAACAATAGAATCCGTAGCACTGGAAGGGACCTTTAAAGGCCGTCTAGTCCAACTCCCCTGCAATGAACAGGGACAATCACAGCCAGATGGGGTTACCCAGGGCCTGATCCAGCTTCACCCTGAAAGTCTCCAGGGATGGGACATCAACCACCTCTCTAGGCAACCTGCTCCAGTGCCTCACAGTCACATTAAAAGCTAATGGTAGGTGTCAAAAGTTAGGTAGGTGTCAAGAAACAGGCAGTCTCACAGTAAGTTAAAGGACTCTAGGCCAGGACTTAACACAAGTGCTTTATCTTCAGATTAAGTCAACAGAATTGATAGGACACCACCTTCAATCCTACACTTAACATATAATAACACATCCTCACGGGTTCCAATCCACTGTCTAGGATGTCAGTACATATCATTGCAAAAGCACACACTCTTCTATTGCTTGGAAGCCTTGGGAAGCAAGGGATTAAGCCTGCAACAGCTTTACTTTCACCACAGAGAAATACACCAAAACAGCCCCTTATTTCTGTAGTGTCTTCAAGCATCAGCATCAGGCCCTTCCTACAATAACATCATGTAAAAGCTTCAGAGAAATAACTTTCTATGTGAATTATTGTGCTCTCATGTGCGGGGTCAATGCCAGAACACCATAATCAGAATTAAACCTAAAGGACTGTCAGCTTGCCTCATCACCACCCACAGAATCCTATTCACAACTTGCTTTGACTCTTTTTTCCCCTGGTCTGATGACCACATTCAGCAACTACAGAGGCTGCTACCAGTTAATCTTACTGAAAAGATGTGAAGGTCATTGTGGTGAAGACAATCAATGCACTGAAAAAAGAAAGCTCTTACAGTATGGGCTAACACAGCTGAAGGAATGGAGATATGTCTTCTCCCCATGCAACTGGATTCATGTTGAGAAGGGGACATGAAATAATACTAAATGGAAAGGAACATGAAATAACACTAAATGTAGTCTGCTGTAAAGCCAAGATCTTAAAATTCATGGCCCTACCAGCTGCTGTCCCAGGAGATCCCTCCTTTTCAGGAAATTAAAGGTGTCTAATGCTGAGAAAGCCTGACTTAAGGTAATGTGACCTGGTAATTGCAATTAAACCCTAGTCTCAGCTCCAGCTTCTCAGTATTGGAAGCCAAAATGTCCTTTGAATTGCTGGAGCAACTCTGGTCACCAAAGGGGAATACCAACTATTCCCTTCAGAAAGGAGATCTGGCAGATGTTTCATTCTACTTTGTAGAGAGGTTTCACAGCAGAGCCCTCGCAGAATGCAACCTGTACCTCTTGAGTGCCTGCTTTCTACAGGAGATATCTCCCTTCTCCTAGTCTCAGTTAAGGGACATGGACATATGCAGAGGATGAAGCTTCCTGAGTTGAATTTCAGACAGAAAATGCCTAACTGCAGCCCAAGGCCAAACAAAGCACTCATGGTCAGGGGAACGACTTCACCTACTCTGACAAGAATTCCACGCTTTGGTAATTTCCTCTTTATCCCAATCTTGTAGCGAGTAGGATGGTATAATTATCAAATCCTAGAGAGAGGCCTTACTTGAATTTATATACACTAAGAACTCTGAACTGGCATAAAAAGCTCTGGTGCTAATCTATCAGATACAGCCTGTGACTTGATCCCAAGATGAAATCCCAAGCCCTAGAGAGGACACTGCCAGAATACACCATTAACAACAATCCACGCCACATCCAAATGACAGCCACCAGTGCTGCAGAATATCATGATCCCTTGGACTTGATGGGACGAGTTACTTTAGTGCTCTGGATGTGAAAGCTGAAATATTAAAAAAGAGGTTGCTGAAGAGGAAAGCCTCTCAGAAATGACACTTGAAGCTCCTGGGATTCAATGATGGGTAATTCTGCAGTTGTTTTTTTTTTTGTTTTTTGAAAACAGCCCATCATCTACTATGATACAGATAAGACAAAATCAACTGGGTTCCTTTAACCTGTGTCTGCAGTGTTCTGCCTAAGCTTTACATTGTACTCCATCAAACCCATCCATTTTGGCTAATTTTCTTACAGAGGGTCCCAATCCCATCCCATAATCTTGTTTTTGTTTTGTACTGCCATTAAACCAAACACACAAAGTCAGAATCAGCTCATCACTCCTCCATGCAACACCTCCATAACATCGTACCTGCCACTGTTTTCCTGACTGGCTTGACATGTATGTTGCTGGGAGGCTTCGAAGGCTGCTTTTCATGGCTGACCCTACAAACGTACCCCCTGTCTCACTTGAGGAAGGCTCACTGGCCACTGCCATTTGGTACTGGGAGTAGTTGTAAAGGTTGTTATAGTAAGGATACAGGGATGGCTGGTAAAAACTGCTGTAGTAGGTGGAGTCCACAACCAAATCAGACGTGCTCTCCAAGTGCCCTCTGCTGGGGATGGAAGGGATGTCCTGAATGAGCATCCGTCCCTCTGGAAAAAAAAAAAAAAATAAAATTATGAAACAGGAGGCTCCATAAAGAGCAATATAGTCCACCCTCTGGTGGACTATACACCACTGTACACCACTGCTCCTCCTGAGGGCTGGACAGAGGGTAACATGTAGGAAGAGGTGGAAGCTGAAAGAAAAACACTGCTGCATATTTGATGGAGGCTCAAGTGGGCTGATGTTCACTCAGAGCTTGAGAACAACACTTCTACACATCTTAGGCTGCAAAGCAAAACCAACTGAGGGTTAAGACAGTACACTGGGTCCTTATGCAGCATAAGCTGGTCCCATGATGATTTACACTAGCTAATGATGTAACCTGCTACTCTTTTTGAATTGTAACTGCATGCCATATCTCTGAATTCCTTGGAAATCAATCCCTTGTTACTACAAAGTGCTTTCTTTACTAATCCCTCTCTGCCTGGCATGCTGCAGGCAAGAAGACATATTCTCAACATGTCTTTAGAACTGGCAAACAGCCACAAAGCTAAGCAAAACTGCAGCAGGGAATGCACAGCGCTATCAGCCAAGGTGCCCCAGCAGCCCATATGCTAACCCTGAGCAGCGAGGCCCTCAGTCCTTCCCAGCCCCCATACCCAAATTTAGCTCATGTTTACCTACAAATTCACAGAGCAGAACAAGCTCCCATACCACTGGCAAAAGAGGAGGAGGGATTACTCACGACTTGCTGCCTGCATTCTTCAGTGCCTCTGGACTGAAGGCCATCCGGCTACACTCCCGCAGCCTGTTAAGCAATGGTCTACTTCCACTGCATCTCTCTAAGGAAAGGGATCTCCTTGAGGCTGCCTCAAGTCCCATTTTCTTCATTTCAATATCAACTGCTGCCCTATGATACTTTCAAGGATGAAAAAGTTCTCATGGTATTGCTTTGCAGCCTAGTTCTGACATGCTCCATCAGCTGCCCATCCAAGCCAGATAAAACAAACAGCAGCTACAAGCTTAGAATCTCTAACCGCACAGCAAACATACATTTATGAGAGCTCCTCTGAAAGCAAAGTCTCCTATCTTATAATGTTGGCCCACTACAATAGAGGCAGATGATGGTGGTATAGCAGTAGGTGAACTTTCTCACCAATATTCCATTACATGTTGTTGCTGTGTGACAGATGGCAGCAGAGGGGCTGGCTGACAGAATGATGTCTGACGTGGAAGTGCGTATGAAGCAAAGGTATGTCACCTGTCAAAAATGGCACCTAATGACATTTGCTGACACTTGCTGAACTTTTATGGAGACCAAGCAGTGGATGTGAGCACAGTGAGGTGGTGGGTGGCATTTCAGCAGTGGTGACAGAAACAGTGGGTCAATTTCACTGGTGCACTATCACACAGCATGCAGACTCTTGTTCTTGTTTGTCCTAGCAAAAAATGAACAGCTAATAGTGGTGGCAATGTCAAAAAATAGTGCTTTGCAGCTGGGAATTTGCTCTATCAAATAGTATAATTATGCTCTTCGTATCTTTTGTAGCTTCCATGCAAATAAATAGGAGGCACTACTTCCCGAGCAACCTACATACATGCTTTTCCTTGTCCAACTCTATCATGAAGGGAAAAAGGATGTGGCTTAAAGAAAGGCAATGAGATCTCAAGGGTTGTTCATATGAAGATGAAGCAGCATCGAGAACAGCCACCAACCAAATAAAATCCCTGAGAGACAGATGTCATTCAGGTCTTGTTTGTTTTATATTGTTCCTTTCCCTTCGTATCTGTGTACCTTGGTTACTTACCTGTAAAAACAGTATTGCACATCTACCAGCCTCTCACATTTGGAATAACAGTTTCCATGGTACTGTGTATTAAGCTCTAACCTAGATCCAATGAACAGTTTTATCAATTACTGTTGTTTTATGATGCAACTTTTTTCACTTCCTCAGTTGTAACCAAAACTCTCTGCAGTCATGAGTAGTACCATACCATGTTCAGCTCTTGCTGATTTTTTGCTGAAATAAATGAACGATGCACGTTTATTAGCAAAAGTATCCTGCTTCTGATTTTTCCACCACCCGCCCCTAACTGAGCAAGAACCTAGCAAGCTAGCTACTTTCAGAGTATCTCTCACATTTGCACCCAGAAGAGCCCACAATGCCACTAAAGACTTCTTACTGTTTTCATGCTTTCATATTTTAATGAAATTTTAACATGGATGACATTCTGCTTCAAGGCCACTTTGTCTGCATCTCTGACAAAATCAGAACTTAGACCACTGTCACCTGCAAGCCAGCAATTCTTCCTGATAAATCAGAGCACCAGCCTGACTCCTTTCCCCAGGGTTAGCTCCTGAATAATGCTGCAGTACAATTTTACTGCTTTTCATGCTGTAAATTAGAAGACAGAAGTAAAATTTTTCCTGCTGGGACACAGACTTCACATGAGATGGAGATACCTGAAGTCTGTATATTATGCTTCACATATGTGCAATCTCTTCTAAAAATCTCTGCTAAGTCTTTCCACCTGCTATATGTCATTGGAAGGAATAATACTTTCCCTTAGAAATACTACAAATATGAGAGATAAAGGGAAGACAGAGCCTCCCTAAACTCAACCAAGGAGAACTATCCTGAGATGCAGAAGAAAATGAGAATGTAGAAGAGTTTGCTATGTTTGAAAAAAGCCCTTTGAAAAGATTTCATAGAAGAGAGAACTGCTTATAATCATCCCCAAAATCATAAAAGCATCCTTAATGTCTCTGTGATGTTCAGCTGGGTGGTAGCGCTATGGTTGCTTCCTGTAGAAAAAGCAGAGATGGTAGTCCTTTGTTGCATTAAGTATGAGAAAAATATGCTTTTTGCCTTTTATCTCCTTCTACTTCCTACTTGTAGATGGGGCCACAATTACTTGCCACCAGATGAGTGTAAGTGCTCAGTTGCTGCCACTCATTTTCCTTTTACCTAGCTGTGGAGCAGCCCCCAGTGGTTCAGAGCTCAGAAACAATGGAATCCACAGTCCTTGTATAACATTCCTGACACACATCCAATCTGAGTGTGGCCACACCACTGACATGAGCTCCTAACAAACAAGAAGGGAAAGCAGAAAGCATGACAAAAGAAAAAGTTCAAGTGAAGAGATAGACAGCATTAACTCAGTACTTCTTTGATGGAGCTGTGAAGATGACCAGAATTATTCTTCCTAAATCCCAAGCTACGTCATGATCCCAAAGATGGACAGGCAACATCCACCAAAGAGCAAGAGAAAGCCGCCACATGCCACAATTCACATTTTCTCTCTGAACTTAAGAGATGAGTTTTTCTTTGATGTCATGTAACAAATCTCTGCTTTTGTTTACCTACTACTAATGCATATATTTTATATATACTATGTGTATAGAACATATACAACTGTATATGGTAAAGAGAAAGAATTTTGTTACTAATGGATAAAGCTCTGCAAGTCTTGAAGGATTTTTCTGAGCTATACAAGCTCAGAAAGAAGCACAGGTCGGAACAGCCAGTACATCAAAGAAGTGCTAAGAGCCAGAAGGAGCAGAATTAACAGCTGAAGAGCACCACCAAACCATGCTTTCAATAAAAAAGACATTCAGAGACCTGCTCCAGAAGATTTAATTTTATTGTACATCCAATAGAGTTTTTGCTGCACCATGCTGCTTCTTCACAGCTGCAGTCTGCAAACTAGCAGGTGGGGAAAATGCACTACCTCTGGGCTACAACATCCACAACACGGCCACAGCCTGCAGATCAAAGCAGATCTCCTTCAAACACTGGCTGTAACTAAATTTGTGCAGCATGGGGCTCTTCGGTTGGTCTTCAGCTTGTGGGCAGTTCTGGACATGACATCCACCTACTGGGAGAACCTTCTCAGTGGCCTCACTTCTGACTGCAAGGTTCAAGCAAACTGTCCTAGTGAAAGGAGGCTGCTAGGCTTTGCCTGCATTTTCTGCCTGCAAGGAGAGGATACCAAGGTCAAGAAGGCAACTCTCAGCTTTTTTTTCCCAAATGTAATTCAACACAGATGAATAGCTCCGCTTGCAAGGAGAAGGTCCTCCCCTGCTTCAGAGCCTGCCGCATTACAACACCTGCACGTGAGGGGCAGCCCTGAGGTTCACTGCTCTAAGGGGAGCGATTTCTGACAGGAATTAAGCTCTCAACAAGGCAACTGCTGCTCTGCCAAGAGACTCCCACTCTGCCCCTCCAGTTGCTCTTTTAGAACAAGGCCTTTACACTGATCTTGGTGGCCTTCATCTTCCTTTAGGAAACTCTAGGAAGGGCTTCTGGGTCTCTGAAGCAACCAGGAGAAAAAAACCTGCCACCAGACCCAGATTTTACCATTTTGCAAGCTGCGGCTAGGGCATGGCTAGAAATATGGGGCTGAGCTCATGTAAGCAGGAGCAGAAACTGACAAGTAAAACAAAGCCAAAGTTGTTAGAATTCTCACTTTGCCTTTGGGACACTAAGTCTACAGCACAGGGATGTCTAAAGCCCTCCCTGTATAATTAATACTCTGGCAATGAGATAATGGTATCCCTTCATGTAGTTGTGCTTTCACATTTCCAAGCTCTTTTCCTCTTCTCTACATCTTAATTCATGTAGAGAACCGATGCTACTTTTTTTGCACTATGTACACAGTATGAAATACGACCCACTCCTTCATAGAAGATCAATATGATGCATGGTAAATACTGCTATTGATCTTGCAGTGTTGTAGGCGACTCTCCAGCTCTATGGCATATTAATAGTAGTTAACCAGTAATTCATTTCAGGATGGCTAGGATTTTCTTTTAAGGGAGGTGAGTTCTCAGGGTCAGTCACAGATAAGGATCTTACATGTTCAATAACCTGAGACAGGCTACCACCTTCACTTAGCAGAGCATGGTGAAAAACAATGGTCCAGTCCTCAGTTAATGCAAGCCAGTCTCAGAACATCTACTTCAAAAAACCACAGCAATTTACACAAACTGCAAAGATGCATGACAAAAATCAGCACAGAAGCCTGTAAATGATCATTCTGTCCC